AGTAGTCGCTTCTTGGAGTTACCTTATAGGACCCTAAATACAAACTTGGTGAAACCAAAAAAAAAAAGGAACTTCTATGGAGACTATAGGAATATCCGGAAGCTGAAGATAGGCCTCGCGGTTGTTTAGGGTCCAGGCCCAAAGGCTCCATGTACCTTTATAGTAGATACTTAAGCCTTAAAGGGGTCCCTATAGACCCTAAGGGTCCAAGTACCCAAATAGTAGGGTTTCAGGCTCCCAACACCATTCAGAGTATGGATTTTAATTTTGGGCCCTAACACCCTACTATTTGGGTACTTGGAACTTGGAACCTCTGGGAGAGGTACTTTAAGGCCTAAAACCCTAAACCCTAAACCCTAAACCCTAAACCCTAAACCCCTAAACCCTAAAACCCTAAACCCTAAACCCTAAACCCCTAAACCCTAGACCCTAAACCGTGTCAGGTTCAGCCTTTAGGGGGCCCAGAGCCTTGATCTGGGAGTTTCCGAAAATAGGGGTATACCCTATTTTGGGGGTCCTTATCACTAGACCCAAGAGTAGCCTAGGAATAAAAAGGGTGCCCTTTTTAGTTTAAAGGGGCTTATAGAACCCCCAAAAAGGGAATAAGGGCCTACTCTAGGTCCTAGATCATAAGGATCCTACTATTTCGGGTACTATATTAGGGGACCCAGAGCCATGATATTAGGGTTCAGGGTTTTTTTTTTTTTTAAAGTGCAATAGCCCCTTTCTCCACAGGCGTAGAGTCAAAAGCTTGCTCATTGCGAGCGTACACTGAAAACGCCCTCTCAGTAGACAACTGTTTACTCATCGTCGACATCTGGACCAGGAGGTGCATCATCTTCATCACACGAAGGATCATCGAACGAGTTGGACCACCCATCACGGCTCCGGCTCCGCTCACGACGAATAGCATCTCGAGACTCCCTCAGACCAGTCCCCACATCACCACCAGCCACCGGAGGACCACGAACAACCGGGGAGTCAGAGAAGACAGCTGATCCAGGTAGAGCAGCTGGACCATGTGCATCAGCAGGTACAGATAGAACAGCTTGATCAGAAAGTGGTTGAATGCTACCCTCAGTGAGCAGGGCTTGCTCACCACTTGCCGACGAGCTAGCCATCCCAGTGCCAGCTTCAGCGGGGGCACGCTCCACGGCGGCATGGCGATCAGGAGGACCATGCCGAACTTCAAGTAGATCTGGCCGGAGACGAGGAGGGACACGGCGAACTCGACCACGACGGCGACCTTGTTGTCCTCGTCCACGCTGTAGATGCGGGATGTACGGCAAGTTGGTGTCCTTGGGCCAGTTGAAGACGAGCTGGCTCTCATCTTGCTGTATCAGGAGAAGGCGTCGATCATCCTCGGACGGCCCCTTGGTCTCGGTAAAGACGTTCGACGTGATTGCGCCAGCCTCGACGACGGAAGCCCGCCACGGTTGCCGGATGCTCCAGGTGCCCGAAGTGCCAGGCCATGTCCTCGAGGTTTGTCGGGAGACCAGGTTGGAGAAGAACAGCTGGGTCACGAGCAGGTTGAGGCACCAGTGTGGAACCATTTGCCCGATTGTGATCGGCTTGCTCACGTATCACTCGCCAAATTTGACGTTCCATATCGCGAGCATTGAACGGCACCGCGGACAGGGGAACCCTCAACCATTGCAGAAGCTCTTCAGCTGCCACGGCAAGCAACCGATCACATCTGCGAAGGTGTCGCTGGCGGTCGAAGATGCGCCGAAGAGCATCAACAGTGTCCGCCATATTTCCTTGCACCATCTGCGCGTGTACCATGTCCCGAACCGCGTCTTCGTCCAGTAGCGACGTTGAAGAAGTGGACGTCGTTGTAGTCGAGCTCCAAGAAGGTCTCCCCAATTCACCCCTCCATGTTTGTACAAGTGCAGGATCATCATTATCTTCTCTCCCCGAATCATCCGCAGGGTCGCGCCAAATGCCATGTGGACTCCACGGAGCAGGGGGCAATCGCGGGGCCGACATGGTTTCCGAGCTGTTCGACGACGAAGACGTGCAAGCATCAACCCGAACAGGCTGTGGAGGGGGCGGGCCCCTGGGCGGCTCACCGGGTTGCAGCTCATAGGGAGGCACTTCCACCAAGTCGCCATTCTCATCGAGAGCAAAGCGGCTGTCCATACTTGCAGCACTCTGTGGAGTCTCGGACCCATGGTTCAGGTCAGTAGGCGGGACAAACATGTCCACAGTAGCTGGAGCCAATGGCTGAGCAGCTTCATGTGGGCGAGTCTGGTGTGAGCTTGTTGCCGTATTGTCCTGTTCATGCCCACCTTCATCGGAGATGGCCGATCCTCTGTGCTCAGTTGTCACAGCAGAGCGTCTGGCTTCCGACTCTCCGGGCTGGAGTGGTGTGCGAAGAATGGCCTCCGCCGTGTCTGTGAACATGACAATGCCCTGACGAGCCCAAGAGAAAAGACACCAGCGAGTCTGTTCACGAGCTGGTATCCTACGCACTGGAAGATAGCCTCGAGGGACAATCCGACGAGCCAAAATTTCACTCATCATTTCCATGGCGTCAGTGGCTTCCGTAGCTCGCTGTAACAGACAAGAAAGCGCCCATCTACTCTCGGGACCCGTCCCATTGCGCTGGTGATCAGCCAGAGAGTCAAGGAGATCCGCGAGGCGTTGGATGTTTCTCTGTGGGATCCCAAATTCACTGAGTCTTTGTCGCTCCGCCCCAGTCATCTGTAGTTGGGTCACCCCATCGTCAGGAGGGGCTGCTGCCACATCTGGGAAAAGGCCCGCATTGGGGATAGTGACTGGCCACGTAGTAGAGCTCGTTGTGATCCCACCCGTGCTCGTCAATGTCCAGGAGGTCCATGTTGTCCAGGTAGGCCACGTCGTCCATTGACCAATTGTGGGATCCCATCGTAACGACGGTGAGGCCCACGAGGTAGTAGAGGAAGTCCCTGCCCCAGTTGTGCAGCTCGTTGCCATCCCATTCACTCTCGTCGAAGTGCTCGGGGTTGCGGGTTCCCACCGTGTCCACGTAGTCCAAGCGGTCCATTGGCTTTCTGCAGGATCCCATTGCGGCGGCGAAGGCACCCATGAGGAGGATGTGGAGGGGGTCCCTGGAGTGGTCCAAGTTGATCCCTGCATTGGTGGTTCTGTAACTTGGTCATCCCACGTGTCATCCCACGTGTCATGCGATGTCCAGGTAGAACTCCACGTCGCCCAGGTGGACCATGGTTCCCAATGATCCCATTCTCGCCAAACACCAGGGTCAGCATTGTTTTGCTCTGGTTCAGGGTTCATGTCCTCCTTTGCAACCTCCAGGTTCTCTCCGAGTGGGTTGATAGAGGAAGACGAAGTCGCTGGTTCGTGGAGTCGGGAAGGCTGTCTCACACTATCACGGCGAGTTTTGTTTTCTCGGTATTGTACAAGCCAAGCCGGACGCCAATCTCCTCTGAAGTAGCTTTGAAGACGAGCTTCCCGTTTCATGGTTCGCCTGATTCCAGCTCCACCACGATGTGCACGGGCCTCCTCTGCTGTGCGTGGTCGCGGGACGAAGACACCATGTCGCCAGAAACCGACTTGGTTGTTCGCTACAGTATCTGATACATCACTTTCGTCAGCCTCCGCGCCCGAAGCCCCGAGGTCATCCGACGTAGTCAATGTGGTCCCTTCTGGATTTTCCTCGATCTCCGTCTCCCCTGCAGTTGTAGAGTCAACATCTACTGTATATCCGGCTCCACGAACCTTGAAGTTCTCCCCGTAGTAGGTGGTTGCACAAAGAGTGGGCTCAGGTTGGGAGGAGTTCGCCCCAAGAATGGTGAAGAGGGCAGGTTCAGTTTCATCCACGGTCGGGAGAGCAAGAGCTTCTTCGGCGAGGAGGCGTTCGCGTCGTCGGTTGCGAATGGTTCCGTTAGGGTGATGCCAACGGTCAATTCCCGATCTCGTTGTGTGTCCTCGTTGTGTCACACCGATGTCTTTGGTAGCAGTTGGATCCTCCATCGCCGGTGACAGGGGACCGGACGCAGAGTAGTTCCAGCATGTAGACGCCGCCGAGGAAGAGGAGCTCGCGGTACTCGTAGTAGCCGATGAAGTGAAAAGTCCGCAAGAGCTGGAAGACGCCCCAGAGGAAGATGAGCTCGATGTACAAGTAGTCGCCAACGGCAAGCTTGAGCGCGACGTAGGGGAAGAGGCCGACGGTGAGCTCGACGTACCAGTAGTCCAGGTCGGCAGCTCTGAGGACGAGGAGGCACCGCCAGTTTGCTCAGGAGGCCTCCTACCACGAAGATGCCTGTGATCGCGAACCTTCTCGAACCAATCAGTCTGATGGTCTTCTTCAGCATACTCACGTCCACATACATCTGCAGGCTGGAATGCGAAGGGCAGCGGGATGTCCAGGGCGTTCGGAGGGGCAGAGTTCTCCCCATTGAGGGTCATGATTTCCTCCTGCTGAAGCGCCACTGAGATTTCTTCATCCCAGGCATTGTCCACCAGCCAAGGCGTGGAGGTCAGAGGCGCCACCACGCCAACCGCCATCGAGGAGGAGGTGGTCGCTGCACACAAAGAGGCACCGGTGGTCGGAGTGCACCATGCTTCCTCCGGCCATAGTTGATCCTCCCACGTCGGAAGAGAAGATGCCCGCCAGCTCGACTCCCATCTGTCTTCATCAGACGAGTCATTGTCGACCGCGGTCACATCGATGTAGAAGAAGGCAAGCCAAAGGAGAGGGCGAAGTCGTCCCACCATGGCTTCCAAACGTAAAGAAAATGAAGGGCACCGGTCCAGTTGAACGAGCCTGAGAGTTGCGGTGAGGCACGGTTGAATGTAAGCATGTAGAAGAGCGGGCAGGCGCATGTTCGGTAGTGAAGGTCAAGCTGGGTTCACAGATGGCAGAAAGCTCAGAATCACAATGTGATGTGCATAAAGCGGCATGCCCCACACAGTCCTCTTGCACTCTCAGTCTGTCAAACTTCACATGTGCAGAGGCGGACTTCATGCGGATGCACACACGTGGAGGTTTCTCTGTTTTAGTAACGAAGAGCCAGTTGACGTCCTTGCGTCCATCTGATGTCCCATCTGCGTAGATATTCATCGCGGACGAGAGACCAGTGATTACGATCAGCTGCTACTTCAAACCATCTTGTCCCGTGGACTTCGCTAAGTTGGCGTTCGGTGTTGGACGCGTAGAATCTTCCCTCATGCCGAACGCCAGTAAGGGGCGAGAGCTGCTGTTGAAATCGCCACCATCCAGTAGATCTCCAAAGTAATGCTCGCATGGGTAGGCATGGCTCTTCAGTGCAGTGACCATTTCGGAAGATCATCTCGCGCCTACGTGCCCAGTGTCCGTGGAGCGTGTGTTGCAACGTGAGAATGCACGAGGACCACCGGTTTTGGCCCTGCGAAGCGAGCCATGCACGGCATTGCCTCATCGTCCTTGAGTTCCAGTCGACCCAAGACTCGCCCGGCCGGCGATGAAGCCTAAAGGAGTCACGTAGTACGTGAAGTTGCAGAACGTTAGCCTGCCTAAGGTCTTCAGCTGCCCAATGCAATGCACCGGCCGTCCATTTGAACTGTCCTTCGACAAGGCTCTTGATCAAAGTAAGCTTTCTCCCCCAAGAGGCATGACCACGGAGAAGATCTCGGTGCTTGGCTGCTGCGGCACGGGTGCGTGCAAGCAGTTCTTTGGCTTGCTGTGACGGTGACTCGTGAAAGCTGAAACCAAGACCCAAAACTTTAACAGACTCCCCTGGAGAGGCGATCTCAAAGAAGTTCTCCCCGACTTTAATGCGCCTGGGTCCACGATAGGCTTCGCTGGCAATGATTTTGGTCTTTTCGGTTGCAAGTACCAGACCGGCAGTGCGCAGATGGCGTTCAAGGACATTGACTTTCCGACCAAGGCGAGCGAACTCGGTTTCGAGGAGGAAGATATCATCCTGATAGAAGATCAGTTGCAGATCACAGCCAGGGACTGCAATTCCAAATCGCTTCCACCCCTGGCATGTCGTAAGTTCGGAAAGCATGCAATCCATAATCATCCCGAACAGCTCTGCACTCTCCGGCGCCCCTTGTTTGATCCCCACATTGGGAGAGATCTTCAGGGTTTGCCCGCCCGGTGCCTGTCCCACAAGGTGATAGGTCTTCATCTGATTGAGCAGATACTTAAGTTCAGCAGGCACTTCACGTCCTCGAAGTCGTTCCTTCAGGAATTCACAAATCTTCTGCCGGTCAATGCGATCAAACGCGCCAGAGATGTCAAGCTTGCAAAGAAGGATCGGGACTTTCCATTCATGTGTAATATCACGCACCCGGGCGATCGTCCCCAGAACATCTGCTGCTTGGCGCCCCTTTCCACAGCCACTAACTCTGGATCCCACCCGCAGAAGCGGCATGACACGACCACAGACAAGACGGCTCACGAACTTGTTCAGGGCAGAGCTGACACATATTGGCCGCAGGTCGCCGGGTTTCTCCGGGAAGTCCTTCTTTGCAAGTAGCGCCAAGAAGCTCGTCGTCCAATTCTCAGGCTGAAGCTGCGAAGAGATTATGCGATTCACAAGAGCGAGAAAGTCATCCCCAAGGTGTTCGTCATCGATAATGCAGCGTAACAGGTGAACACTGGTTCCGTCTGGTCCCACCGCACTATTGGCCTTCATCGCTTGTAGTTCTTCCCTAGCTTCGAGCTTCGTGAAGGGTACAAAGTCAACCTCCTCATCAATGGCCTGAATCTGCACATCGACGATGTCATCCCAATCAGACTGGAAGGGGTTTGTGAGCTTGGTTTCAAGGTGCGTTCTGATCTCCTGGCATAGTTCTTCAGATGACCTATCTGCGAGCATCTTGCCCCACCATCCTCTTCGACGGTTCTTTTCACGCTGCAGCTGTCGGTACGCAGACCAGTCACCGTTGAGGATGCGCGACATACGGGAGGCCTGCCACTGATTGCGATTGCGTCGGCGAAGACGATGTACTTCTTTCCATGCTTTCTTATCGCCGCTTGTTTTAGCAGCCGCAATGGCGTCCTTCAGCTCTGGGCTGTCCACATAGCCAGTTGAAGAATGTGGTCGCGTACATGAACGTGCGAGGTCTGTGATGTCCGCGACCTCAGTGATAGTGATCTGCGGGAGGTCCCCAACCACCCACCTCGGCCTTGAGTCGTTGCCCCACTGTGCCGATGAACGTTGAGCGACCATAACATCACTTGTGATGATCCCATGGTCAGTGCCGATCACATGACGTCGATCTCCATCGATGTTGGCAGGCTTGAGGTTCAGGCTGCGATACCAGAGTGTGTCAATCTGTCGGCCAACTCGAGTCTCATCCCTGGGAAAATGGGTGGGTGACTTCCACTGTGAAAATTTGGGGGCAAGCGGCAGAGCGCCTAGATGTGCAGCTTCAGTGGCGAGGAAGTTGAGGTTCGTCGAGGAGCAGTCAAGTTCCCCTTTCTCGCTGTCTTCATTGTGGAACCACCGCGGAACTTCGTTGGCATCAATTCCACAAGCGAGCGGATACTGCCTCCACTTTGACGGGCACCCTCTGACAAACTTCAATATCGCCCCTTGATATTTCGCATTGGTCACCCCAGTATAGGCATGCATGCTCCCAACAACCACACGTCCTAAGCCACGCAGACGTACAAGAAGCCAAATGCCCCTTGGAGTAGCGATCTTCCCGATGACACTGTCAAACTTGTCGATAGCAAATCCCACAGCAACTCCCCTCCACAGATCTCTGGACCTATAGGAGATGAAATGGAAATGGTCTGTATCTTTGGTGTCCCATCCTTCGTCACTGCGAGCAACTTCTTGTGCACAGATTATATCCGCATCGGCTGCCGCGAGGTCCAACTTGAGGATCTCTTGACCACCGATGTTCCACTGAAGAATTCTCCCCCATCTGTATATTTCACACGGACGAGGTTCATCTCTGACATTCACAGTATGAGCCTTGGGCTGTCTGTGGTCAGCGCCATGCAAATCCTCCCCGGCAGAAGTCTCCCGTGGAGGTGTGAAACTATGTTCCTCCCCTTTTCACAGCTCAAGTTCAAACGCCGCCTTGGCGACGTCCACCGTGCATCCCGCTACCAACCCAACAGCGTCAAGGTTGATCCATCCTCCCGTCATGGTCACGCACTCGCTGTTCTTGGGGATACGATGAGTAGCAGATGCGAGCTTATGGATCCCGCACCACATCGTCCCTGTATTCCAGTCCATGTCGTAGGCGGTCGCTTGGGTGTGTTCCACATTGAGAACTCCCCCTTCTGAGTTCTTGGAGTCCGCGGCCAACGACATCGCAACTCTCCGAGCCATGCTGATGTGGGCCGTTCTTTGCCTCGCCGTCTTTGTCTTAACGAACGCCGCCCACATGGTCTTGTCCTCCCCGGCCGCTTTGGTGCTCTCCAGGACCACTTTCATCGTCGCGATGGCCTTGATCACTTTCCACATTCTATCTTTGACCTGTGCGTAGGAAGACTCCTCCGGACGCATGATGAAGCGCAACATCCCAACGCTTCGGCGAGGCCCAAAGACCAACAACTTCTCGGCATCAATGTGCTCCTTAATGGAGGGGTCCTGCAAGATGGGGAGGGCCTCCGTCTCGATCACTGCTCGTCGGGTGTCTTGGAGCCACCCGCCAACAATGAGCGTTCGTCGATCTTCATCAGAAAGTTCTTCCCCTCGATCTCCACCACCACCATTGGAATTCGCCCCCACGTTCACGGAGTTAGCGGATTGGTCATTAGTGTTCGCCCCGATCCTTGGTGGTCGTGAAGAACGCCCCCCTTGTTGCTGGAGATAGTTCGCCCAAGGATCAAGTTGAGGTGGATCAGTGCTCGCAGCAGCTTTCGCCCCGGAAGTTTTAACCGCTTCGACCTGCATCTTGAGGTTCTTGACATCCTCGGTAAGGGCTTCGATCTTATGCTGTCCGGCCTCTTGCTGCAAGCGCATGTGCTTCATATCCTTTTCCACGACCTTGGTGCGTCCGGACAGAGACGCCAGCTCACCTGTCTGCTTGGATTGATGCTCTTCAACTTTGGCGACCCGGGTCTCAAACATTCCCCAAGCTTCCTTGAGTTCACGCGCATGTTGTTGAAGGAGAAAGCGTAGTTCTCGACTTGAAACTGGATGCTCATCACGTTGTGGGCGTTTGCTGGGACTCTCCTCCTTGTCAAACTCGTCGTCGGGAATCTCGATGTGCTCAGCGGCTGATCGTCTCTCCCGTTTTCGCTTCTCCTTCTTGACCTCAACATCCAACTCAGAGTCCTCGGCCAGCTCCGTGGGAGACCCCTCTTGCTCCGGCCCCTGGTCGACAGCCATCTCGCCCTCCACGTTGATCGCCATCTCGCCCACAGAGGGAAAAACGACTCCAGGCAGGGCCATCCAAAGCAAACGAAGTCAAACACACCCACCGACAAGGTCGCCCCAGAAATGAGCAGGTAGGTGGGGGAGAGGAACTGGCCGCCCGATCACGATGTCGCCCCAGTCCCAAAGCGTCAACGATGTAGAAGAGGACGTCACACTGGCCGCCGGCTCGCAAGGTCGCCCTTCAACCCGCCACCTCCAGAAGGAAGAGAGCGCGCCACAAGGCTCGAAATCAGGAAGAGAGAGAGGGACAGGGAAACAAACAGGGAAGGTTTCGAGAGGTAATGGCTTGAGCCAAAATGTGCACTTGAGCCAAAATGGCTTGAGCCATAGCCAGGGTTCAGGGTTTAGGGTTTCGAGTTTAGGGTCTAGGGTTTAAAGTTTAGGCTTTCGAATTTAGGCTTTAGGGTTTAGAGTTTAAAGTTCAGGGTCTAGACCTAAGAGTAACCTAGGAATAAAAAGGGTGCCCTTTTTGGTTTAAAGGGGGTTATAAGGGAACCTAAACCCTAAAAAAGGGAATAAGGGCCTACTCTGGATCCTAGGGGTTTAGGGTTTAGATCATCGGACCTGGGGTTCTCCGGTGGCTTGATACCAGGAGTACGTTCCGGGAACCACCCTCAGACCATCGAATCTCTGGAAGCCATACCTGGGGATCCAAAAATCAACTGTTTTAGGGGTTAGACCCTGTAATTAATCAGTCAGAACCTACTCTTTTGTAGGGTTTGGGGATACAGGTAAAGCTCAGGTCCTAAACTCCACAAACAAGCCAGTACGACACCCGGCAACCTTCGATTAAAACACCTTATAACTTAAAAAATGCGCCTACCCTATGCAAATCCTGACCCTTAAACCGATATTCAAATCGCGGCCTCAGAACTGCGTCAGTGCCGCGCAGATCTCCCAACCTTTTCTGGGCTCTTGTTCAGGAACTCACAGGCTAGAGACTCCAAAACGTCTTCACTCAGGAATACATCCATATACATACATACATTCATGCACGCATGCATGCACACATACAGACAGATGTAGATAGAGATCAATGTGTAGATGCATGTGTGTGTGTCTCTCTCTCTCTCTCTCTCTCTCTCTGTCTCTGCATATGTATATAAACATCATGTCCCAGGCACGGCAATGTAGGAATACTGCTACATCGAGGAGCTTGGAGTGTTTGGGAACTGGGCTTCAGTTGCCGGAATAGAGCTTCTGGATTACGCCTTTATGGGATTTCATCGGGTTTACGACACCCTGCAATATTCCCGCTGAGAAGGTGAAAGCAACAGAGACATGAAAGCCTAGTACTCTCCGGATTGTGATACTCAAACCAAGATCCTGAACAAGAATAGGCTTTAGGGTAGTGTTGTTGGGTGTTGCTTTAGTTTAGGGTCTTCGGCTGTTGCAGAGGGCTAGTGCTTAAGGGTTGGGACTCAGGGTTACGAGATTTTTGGGGTGAAACAGTTGCGAACTTGTTTTTTTGTATTTTTTGTTGAGGGCTCTTTTCCGTCTGCACGCGGGCACGGCCTACGGAAGCCTACTAGAGGCGAACTTGGGGTTTAGGGTTTGCGTTGCTACGGTTGCTAGGGTTTCGGGGTTTAGGGTTTGGGCTGCAAGGGCTTAGGGTGCATGATCGAGGAATGGCAGAAGTAGTGCCAGTGGCGACTTTGGCGTTTAAGCCGTGACCCTCGTGCTTGGAGACTTGAGGGCTTTCGGGCTCTGGGTCAGTTTCGGACATCATAACCAGATTCAGATATACTGAGGGGCTGAGTACCCTAGCCCAAAAAAGGTTAACCTTTTCAGTTATGGTAAAGTTATATAATCCCCAAAAGGTTAAAGGTTATCTACTCAGCTAGTAAGTATAAAGCCAGTATTTGGCAGAAAAGCAGAGGAACTTAAACAAAACAATTTGCATGGGCGGCCTCATTTGGCGATGGAATTTTTTAAAACCCCAAACCCAGTAGCTTAATTGAAAGGGCGCAGTGGCGTAGGGCTCTTGGGGGGTTCAAATTCGATAAGACAGGCAGATTCGCCCTAAACTCCTAGACTCCTAAGCCCTGAACATCCATAAACCCTAAACTCCTAAACCCGAAGCCGAATCCCATAGTTTACGGTTTTTTGGAGAGATGTGCTTCAACTTTCACCGGCCGCTTCGAAGATTCAAGTATCAATAGGGTTTAGGGTTAAGGGTTTTGGGTTTAGGGGTTTAGGAACCAACAAAAGGCAAAGTACCTACATCTTGTATTGCTAGTTACTGTTCTGGACAATTAGCTGTAGTCCCCGAAGACGCCGTGGGGTTGGGGGCGTGACCTGTGGATGTGACGATGGCTTTCCAACATCTGTTGTAGGCATTTAATGAACTTAATTAATTTGCTCGGGAGTTCAACGTGTTTTCTTCCGCGAGAGTTCAACAACAAGCAGAGCTTTCGGGCTTAAGTACAGGAGCGTTGAAAACTGGCGTGGCGAGGCGCTTGAGGTTCAGATGTTCGCAAAGCCCTGTACTTGGATCTAACTCAAAAAAACCACAAACCCCTTAAGGTTTCGGGTCCAGGGGTTTAGGGTTTAGGGTTTAGGGTTTAGGGTTTAGGGTTTAGGGTTAAGTCAGCCCTAGCCCTGCTGCTGCCAATTCCACCCAGGCGCTTCAGCTCCCTGCCGTTGGCCTCTAAGGCGTCCAGCATCGGTGGGCACAGCTGCGCTCCTGGGTCGGCTTCTTTGTGAGGGTCGTACAGGGAACTCCAGAAAGTTGGAATATGGTTTCATGGTAGGATACCCTATAATTTACCATAGAAGGGTTAGGATAATCATATTCGAACTTTCTGGCTTCTACCTCAGGGTTTAGGCTTTAAGGCTCCCAGTATCTAAATAAAGAGCTGCCGGGTTACGAAATGAGGATAACAATACATGGTTGGTACCATACTGATCAGGTATTGCAGACCTAGGGAATGGCCTCTTTAGACCCTGGTCAGGGTTTGTCGGTTTGGACTGGGCTTTGGGATGCTAGTTGTCGGATTCGGTTTTAGGGTTTGAGTTCGAGGGGCATTTTTGACGTGCGTGCTTGGAGCTTAGGATTATTCTGTATGGCTTTCATCTATGTGCTTTGCAAGCGTGGTCGGCTTCGACACGGTTCAGAATGAGCTTATCGGTTTCCTCAGTGCAAAGGAGGCCTTCAAAGGTGAAGCATGGACTTTTTGAACTCTATGTCTAGACCTAAGAGGAACATAGGAATAAAAAGTTGGTTTAAAGGGGGTTATAAGGGAACCTAAACCCTAAAAACGGGAATAAGGGATAACTCTGGGTCCTAGACTTTACTGTATCTCATATTCTGAGCTTGCAATCTGCCGCCAGCCATGGACCAAGCAACCATGTACTCCGTAGCTTTTGCTCGCCATCGCACAATCTAAACCTAAACCAGAAAACTTCGGTTTTAGTATTCACGGCTTGGGGTCTGGGTCTAGGGTTCCAGGTGTAAAGGTATATACATATATATATATATATATACATATAATATATAATATATAATATAATATATATATATATATACAGATAGGCATGTCATACTACAAGTGTCCACGGATGTAGGTTTGCTGGAGAGGTATGAGACTTTACCAAGGATCCGAACACGGTAGGATGCGGCCCTGTAAGAAGCGCGGTCGGGAAGTCGGGGCTCGACTCAAACTTTGAACGTCTGAGTTCCGCAAAAACCTAAACCCCTAAACCCAAAGACCTAAACCCTGGGTGTATTTAGGGGCCTATAAGACTCAAGACTCAACAGGGAGAGCCAGGATTGCAGGGGGTGCCTAGGGACGGGGATCTAGGAAGGTTTAGGGTTGAGCATGGTTGATGAAAGGACATTTATGAAGGTACTAGTTGCGTACTTGAGTGGAAACTTCTACACAGGTTCTAAGGCATCGGCGTGTGCAAAGCTCGTGCCAGGCAGAAAGACGAGGCGCCCTGAATGCCGGCAAAAGTGTGCAGAGAGGGGCTGGGTGTGTGCGCGTCTCCAAGTTCGCGTCTGCAAGTTAGTGTTAGGCCGGCTTGGCGATATTGTATTATGGATCTTATACTGTCTGTTTTCTGAAATTCCGATTTGGCGTCTCGGGTTTGGGCTGGATTTCAGGCAGGGTTAGGCGTTTGGGTTTCGAGATTTACTAAACTGGAATCTTTAACCCCTGAACCCCTACACTTGGCGTTCCAGGGCGTCCTGTCCGGCTTTGGCATTTCGGGCACTGGCACGACGGCCCCAACGATTCGTTGTCTCCAACAGTAACAGGATGGTGCGAAAACCTTCTAGACCGCGAAAGCTACGCCCTCTAAACGCTAGCCAAGCTGGACCAGGCCCCATACTTGTAGGGTCAGTTCGTCGGACGCACAACCTTCACAATAAACCCTGAACCCGGGTCTAGGGCTCAGGACCTAGGGCTCGGGCATGTAAATAAGTTGATAAGATAATGAACATCTGTATATGTACGTATACTGTAAGTCTGGTATGGAGATATATGGACCAACTCAACGTGCACTGGCACTCTAGCCTATACTGTTACATTCTCGGCGGTGACCCCTATAAGCTCTAGACTTCCCTAAAGACCCTAACCCCTATAAACCCTAAACCCTACCCCTATGAACCCTAAACTTCCCCAAAGACCCAACCCCTATAAACCCTAAACCCTAACCGCTACGAACATTAACCCTTAACACCGAAGGCTGTACCCAAACCCGAGCCTCGGACCGTCCAAGAACCCATGCCTCGAACTGCAACCCCTGTATCCTGAGCCCTGGAGCCCTAAAAACGAAACACAAATCTGATATAGGGTTTAGGATGTAGGGTTTAGGATGTAGGGGTTTAGGGTTTAGGGGTTTAGAGGTTTTGGGGTTTGGAGGTTTAGGGGTTTATGGGGCTTAGGGCTTTGGGTTTAGGGCAACCCGAAACACAGAGGCACTAACACTTTCAACAGGCTTTTCGGGCACGTTATGGCATAATTAGTTAGGGT